AGCCTAGCTTTGTTTCTAGTGATTATTCCATTTTCATCAAGTTTGTTACGGAACACCCATTTCGTACCAATAACCGTACGATCATCGGGTCTTGGCACCAATTCCCAAACGTCATTTCGTTTGAATTGGTTTAGCTCCTCTTGCATAGCCAAGGTCCAATGTTCATCATTTATTGCTTCGGAAATGGTTGTAGGTTCAATTTGAGATACGAAAGCCATGTTTCCTACGGTGTCCCTAAGAGAGTTACGAGTACTTACCCCGCGGTTGATGCTGCCGATTACCTGGTCAAGTGGATGGTTCCTGTGCGTTCTCCAAGCTATGGGAAGCTCGGTTGTTTCTTCTTCGTGTTCCTCTTGTCCTTCTTTTTCCTCCTGATTTTCTTCCTCACCTTGGTTAGTCGTTTGAGGTATCTCCTCAGTTTGCGGCTGTGTGTTGATGTATATTCCGGTGTTGTCTTCATCGTCATCAACATGTATTCTTTCTAATGATTCTGCAAGATCATCACAAATATCTTTTCTCGCCAAGCGAGGGTTATCTTCGGAGAATACAACGTGAGGAGACTCCTCAATAGTCAAGGTACGTTTATTGAAGACTCTATAGGCCTTGCTACGTAATGAGTAACCCAGAAAAATTCCTTCATCTGACTTGGCATCAAATTTGCCTAGATTGTCTTTGCCATTGTTGTGAATAAAACATTTGCAACCAAAGACTCGAAGATGGGAAAGGTTTGGCTTTCTCCCTTTGTATAGTTCATAGGGCGTTTTCATGAGTATCGGTCGAATGACAGCTCGGTTTAACACGTAGCTCGCGGTACTCAGGGCATCCGCCCAAAAATACTTAGGGATTTTTTGCCTCATTGATCATAGTTCTAGCCATCTCTTCGAGACATCTATTTTTACGTTCCACCACTCCATTTTGTTGTGGTGTACGTGGGGCTGAGAAGTTATGATCAATGCCAAGTTCGTCACACAAATCTGAAAATAGATTTCGTTCGAACTCTCCCCCATGGTCGCTTCTTATGGCTACTATGGTTGTTTCTTTTTCATTTTGAACTTTCTTTAAGAAATTTTTGAAAACATGAAATGCCTCACTTTTATGAGTTAGAAACAAGGTCCATGTAAACCTAGAGTAGTCATCGACAATCACAAACGCAAAGTAATTGCCACCAAAACTTTTCGTTCTAGAAGGACCAAAGAGATCCATGTGCAAAAGTTGAAGCGGTCTAGACGTTGAAACAACGTTTTTAGACTTAAACGAAGCCCGAACTTGCTTCCCCTTTTGACATGCATCACATATGGTGTCTTTTTCAAACATAAGTTTTGGGATGCCAATTACTAAGTCTTGTGAAACCAATTTGTTCAAAAGGTTCATGTTCATATGAGCTACCCTTCCGTGCCATAACCAAGTGTCTTCCTCTTTACTCATGAGGCACTTAGCAAAGCCGGAAGGAGATTTGTCTAAGTTAACCATATAAATGTTATCGATTCTATCACCACGTAGAATGACCTTATTGTCACTAAGGCGTTCTACATTGCATGATTTTGAATCGAAGGTCACACGGTTTCCCTTGTCACATAATTGACTTATGCTCAAGAGATTGTGTTTAAGACCTTTAACAAGCAAGACGTTATCTATGGACGAGTCTTCGGACTTACCTACTGAGCCGACCCCAATTATTTTTCCTTTTCTATTGTCTCCAAAAACTACGTTTCCTCCTTTAGCGGGTTTGATTTGTAGGAACTTGGATGCATCTCCGGCCATGTGCTTGGAACATCCGCTATCAAGGTACCAAAGTACACTTGATGCCTTCAAGCATACCTACAAAGATGATTTAATAAGATTTAGGTACCCAAGTCTTTTTGGGTCCTTGAGTGTTAGGTGCAAAGTGGTAGTGTGATTCATTTTGTGCCCAATGCTTATGCCTAGTAAAGCAAACGGGAGCTATATGTCCTACCCTATTGCAATAGTGACAAACTACGTTTGGGTTATGCATCCTCCTAGGTTGATAGTAGTTGCTAGGGGGCCTAACCGTATTCATCCTGTTTTGAGAAAAACTTGGTTTTTGAAAATTTTCCCTTCTAGGTGTTCTAGGATTATTTTGTCTATTAGAAAAATTATTTTTATGCACAGGATTATTTTGATAAATTTTCCTAGGTTGTCTATCATCCACATTTTCATTCCTAGGTTTTTGTCTAGGTTGTCTAGTGTCCCTAGGTTGACTAGATTTTCTATTATCCTGATTTTTAACTTTCTTATGTTGAGCCTTAGGAGGTTTTCTAGATGTTTGCTCAACGTTTTTATCCTTAGATTCATTTTTATCAAAACCTATTCCTTCCTTAGAAAAATGCATAGTGTCTAGAAGTAAATTAAGATCTTTGTGTGGTGTATTAAACTTCTTAACCGTACTCTCAAGTTTTGCAACTTTTTCTATTAAAGTTTTGCAAGATTCACATTCACTTGAAGAACTTTCTGGTTTGCCAGCACTTCTCTTACCATAAAATTTATTTTCTTGTTTCAACCTTTCATTATCTTTTTCCAATTTGTCAAAATCATTTTCAAGAGTTGAAAGGCGTTTCTTTAAAGATTTGTTGGTTTTAGAAGCGCTAACAAATTCATCATAAAGCTCATGAAGTGCTTCTTGCATTTCTTCAAAAGTATAAGAGTCGGAAGAAATGGTACATACCTCTTGAACGTTGTCGGTTTGATCTTCGTG